ACGTGGCTTAGGCTGATCGCAGGTCGCGTGCTCACTTGCCGGCTGGAGAAAATTCCCCTTTTGAGAGATCATAATATGGACCTTGTCGTTTCCAAGGTGTTGCATTCAATGTTAGAAGCTACGCCAGCATGTATTATCCAAACAAGAGATAATTTTGCATATTGTAGTCAGCATTGAGAGTACTACATGGCCCAGACTACCCCAGACTTTACCGCTTCGGCATCGGCTGCACGGCTGGGTACTCATCGCTCTACTTCGGGCAACATCGGATCCGATCTTCTTCGTGATCTCCACCGGCCGCGCATCATTACGTGTCGAAGCGCAAGCCGAACATCCAGTCGCAGTGGTCGCAGCTGTTGGCAATATGATGAGAACAAACATAGCTATACACCATCTCCAAAATATGAAGTTTGAAACAGTGACAGCTGATGTATACAAGACCCATCAAAAGAAGGAGCACCCGTTCGGCCGTTGTCGCGTGGCGGGCCTGGGGTCGGTCGTCTTGGCACTCGGCGCTGGCGTCTGTTTGGGCAACGACAAGACGGAAGAGCCGCTAACCGACCATAGTGACCACTGCTAGTTCTTTGGGTTGTCATATGTTCCCGACTATTTCCATCACCAGTGATCTCCACGTCATCCTTCGAACATATTAACTCTTCGTTCGCGCTCCACTGGACTAGACCGCTGTCACTACCACCGAACGCACCTTTGATCATCTCCACGACCGGAAAGGAGAGCTTGGCAACCGAGGTCCCAAAATGAACTGCCCTTCCAGAACCGATGACGATGTGCTTTGGAACCCCGGATGGAACCAAAATCCGCCACGTTTCGCTGCTGATTTGACGACCTGCGAGGATCTGAACGGCATCGCGAACGCAAGAGAATTGGGAGAAGCAGATCGGCTGCGCAGCGGCACGCGGAGTTTGCGGCGGTGTGAACTCGACGAATTCAATGGCCAAGAGATGGAGAAGAGAAAGCCAAGCCACACTGGCGAGGGTGTCAAAGGGTCTCCAAAAGGTTCGTTACAGCTTCGTGATGACTCAACGATGGAGGCTGAGATGCTGACTCTTTGGCAGGACCTTGCACCCGAACAATCGCGCACGTGAGCGAGCACCAAGCTGGCCTCACCACCACTATCTTCAGCTGGGTAAAGTGGCTGGTATCAGTAATCTGCACTTCGATGCTGATCTCCTATGCTACCGGAAATCTGTCCCCGCCCAAGTTTTTCTTAACAAAAGGTGAGATGAAACATTCGAATCGCGTCAAAGCGTCAACACTAACATCAAATTCCCAGAGCCGACAAACCAGCGTCTTCCCAGGCGAAGTACCTGCGAAGATGGCAAAGCCCAGCCCAACTACGATCTCGGCCTACATGTCGCCGGTCTTTTCATCATCCTTTTCGTTTCAGGCACTGGATGTGCCTTCCCAATGCTTGTCCTCAAGTTCCCGCGGCTGCGCATCCCACCTGCCTTCCTTTTCGGCGCGAAGCATTTCGGCACCGGTGTCTTAGTCGCGACTGCCTTCGTCCATTTACTTCCTACCGCGTTTGGCTCACTGAACGACCCCTGCCTGTCGAGCTTTTGGACGACCGATTATCAGGCTATGCCGGGCGCGATTATGCTAGCTAGCGTTTTCTTCGTCACCCTAATCGAAATGATCTTTTCTCCAGCCCAACATGTCTGCGGTGGTAACGAGGGTGCGGAGGCTGTGTCTCGCCGCAAGGAAGAACCGAAGACTGAGAACGAAGCGCCTGCTCCACCGCAACCAGCAATGCAGAGAACCTACTCGGATACCAGCATGCGAGTCCGCGATCTAGGCGTCTTGCGTGGAAGAGTCGGGAGCATTAGTAGAACGCTCTCCCGGTACCGTGAGGATGGCCAGCGACTCGATGCCATTGAATCCGTGGGCGGATCTGAAGCGGACACCCCGGGCGCCCGTAGCAAGGAAGCGAATGACGAGTATGCTATCGAGGAAGACCAAGAGACCGGGGAGCACGATCACATCCTTACGCCTGAGCAAATCCACAAGAAAGCCATAATGCAGGTTTTTCTACTGGAAATGGGTATCTTGTTCCACAGCATCTTCATTGGAATGTCGCTCGCTGTTTCCGTTGGTAACGACTTCACCGTGCTACTGATCGCTATCGTATTTCATCGTGGGTCACCCCTCCAAACCGACCGTGTTCGTATGCTGACTTTGACAGAAACCTTCGAAGGCCTTGCCCTCGGTGTACGTATCGCCGACATCAAATGGAAGCCACGCGCTGCACAGCCTTGGCTTATGGCTCTCGCGTATGGTTGCACGCAAGTCCTCCCTCCATCCACATTTATTCCGTCCTGCTAACACCATACCCAGCACACCCGGCGGCATGGCAATCGGTATAGCGACACACACTTTGTACTCACCCGACTCTGAAGTCGGTCTCCTCGTTGTCGGTATCATGAACGCTATCTCGGCTGGTTTCCTCGTCTTCGCCTCGCTTGTGGAACTCATGTCGGAGGACTTCTTGAGTGATGAGAGTTGGAAGGTGCTCAAGGGCAAGCGCAGGGTGTATGCTTGTTTACTTGTGTTCCTTGGGGCCTTTCTGATGAGTTTGGTGGGAGCTTGGGCCTAAGGAGAGGATGGTGGAGGATAGGAATGTGGGTGAGTGGGGAGGAAGGAGGGTGTGTTGGATGGCTGGATAGATGGGGGCGTCGAAGTAGGGGGGCATGAGAATAAATTGTACATGGAGCTGGGAACGGGGTGTTGAATGGCAAGATAGTGTAGATTGGAAAGTCTGTAGTTGTGTATGTGGCAACCGACGTCCATCGTTACTGCGCCAGCCAGAACAAACTTATGTAGCCAGTGGGATGAGCAATAACTATTCGCAGAAGTCTCAATGTTGCATCGTAGTTAGACACTACATCTTGACACACTCCGCCATGAGATGACACATGGGGAAGTCCATCTCGTCTTTACCCAACTCCGTCGTAGACCCCTTCAGCCCCACGCCCGTAGTCCTCCTCACAACCAGCGGCCCCTTGGTCAACTCAGACCAACCCACGCTCCCCTCGCCCAATACAATCAACCTCTTCTCTTCCGGCACGCCTGCCTTCTCCACCGCACGAAAAGCCGGATGAAGAGGCTCAGGCCCCCTGTGGTGCGGAATCCCCGTCTTCCTAACCTCCCTCACCACCGTCCTAAACCCCAACTCCTCACCAAGAAACTTTTTCAGTCCGAATTTCGTGTCCGAAAAAGCATTCCCAACCGCAAACCCATGATCAAGATTGACACCCACCCCCAACCACCCCTTCTTCCTCCGCACCTCTTCATCCATCAACCCCGTAACCCCCCTCACCAACCCCGCACAAACATCCCCCGCACACCTCTTCCCCCCTTTACTCTTCAGCGCCCCATCAACCGGCTCCCACAGTATCTGCACTTCATACCGGCTCACTTTGCGCAGCCATGGAAAGGATTTGGCCAGTTTGCGTAAATGGGCTTGGATTTTTTTGTCCCAGTCGGAGGGGACGAAGGTGTTTATGCGGCCGCGGAAGTGGATGGAGAAGAGGAGGGTTAGGCTGTTGGAGAGGAGGTAGGAGGCGTATTCGCGGCTTTCGGGGATGAGGGTGGGATCCAGGGAGAGGAGGCTGGGGGTGCTGTGGTGGATGGGGAGGAGGGTTGTGGTTGTGTGTTTGCAGGTGAAGGTTTTGAGGCCGAGGGGGAGGTTGTTGTTTGTTGGGGTGGAGGTGGAGGTTGGTTGGGAGAGGTAGGCGTATATTTCGTTGCGGAGTTCTGGGGGGAGGGAAGGGAAGAGGGGCGTTGGTGGTGACGTTGCCATAGCTGGTTGTAGGATGTGAGGGTTTGTGGACTTTTGCCAGATACGTCGGTTTCTGGATGTTTAACGTGACGTCCGATGAGTGGTATTGCCGACTTCAGATCGCTGTGTCGAGTACAGCAAAATAAACGTATGGGTAGTAGGAGCAGATGAAGTCCTAGGATCACGATCGATACCAAGTCTAAGCATCAGCTGGGTGACCACAACCGAGCCTATTGTCGCGATACCACAATAGCAACCAAGCTTCTTGCCGGAGTGAACGCGCGATCACGTGACAGCGCAGCCTGTTGCCCCAGGTGAAAGCAGTGACCCCAGTTGGTCTTTCTGTGTCAGCCTCGCTTCCATACTGCTTGAAAGAGTCTCTATACCTTCTCAAACTTCTATGCCACTGAAGGTTTTAAAGTGAGCAAATTTGGACATGCACAATTTTTCCGGAAGGTGGTGCTATTCGGCAGCGGCTCGGCACTTTGCGCTTTTAGGTAGCGGCGACGATGGTGGATCTGGGTTTTTTCCGTGGAGCAGATCGAGAACGGCGGCGGGTCTTTTTATCGATTCATCTTTTCGGCTTGGTTCTTTGTGTTCGAGTTGATCTGCGGCGTGTTGCGTGCTCTTGCGACGTCTTTGTGGGAAGAGCCGAAAGAGGGTGTTCTTGTGGTGTCGACATACGGTGATGAAAGTTAACCTGATGCGCAGGAAAGCAGAGTTATTTCAAGTCATGTTGTCCAGGTTGAGCATTGTCGTTGTTGCGATGTCAACTATGGTCGAGTTTGGATCGCGGCCCTGGTCTACCATTGTCAATATTCGCGGACTAGTGGGCGTGGCTACATGCTGTTGGATTGGGCATGTATTGATCGTATGGGCTTGCAGTTGAACGTTAGAGACCAAGTGCAATATGGGTGCAGCCATGGTTCATATATCCTCTGTTTGAGTCATCGAGTGTTCATGATGTTCTTTGGGTCAAAGATGGCTGCGCCACGCATCTGACAGCCCCAGTCCGTGCGTCCCAACCAGCGATCAAAGCAGGTCCGTGAGGATAGATGTGCAACAGCTACGGCCATAATGTAGAGCCAGAAAAGGTATCGATTTACTACATGCAGCATATAGAGGTTCGTTAAGCGCGCCAAACTCCTGCCCAAAGAACGCCGGCCTAAGCTTTTGATGCATCATATACACATACTCGAACCTACAGGGCCTCAGCAGCAGCCTTGGCCTTCTCAACCTTCGCACGCTTTCTGCGCAGGTTCTCAGACTCGTTTTCGCGCTTGTTCTCTCCGTATTCGATACGCTTGAGCAGCTTGCGCTTCTTGTTAGACAACATCATCTTTTGCCTCTCGCGCTCCTCCTCTTCAGCGCGCTTCTTCTTCTCTGCCTTCTTGCGGATGACAGCGTTCTCCTCTTTCTTGGTCGGCTTCTTGACCTCGAGCTTCTTGCCAGTAGCCTCAGCTTCCAGTTCACGCTGGTGCTGAAGACGGGCAGCCTCTCCTTCTGAGATGTCTGACTCGGCATCGGAGTCAAAGCCGTCGAACTCCTCACCACCCGCGCCAGCTTCATCTGATTCGTCATCATCGCTGTCGTCTTCAGAGTCGTCAGCGACATCCATGCCCTCGCCAACTTCCACGGAGCCTTCACGGTCAACGATGGCGTCCATGTCTTCGTCTTCATCACCGTCGAAAGTGGCCTCCTCGTCATCGTCCTCAAAGGCCTCAGCCTCACCCTCTGGTTGTTGTGCCGCGAGAGGCAGGTTGGGGTCATATTCGCCCTTCTTTGGCTTGACCCAAGGGCTGAGATGTGGCGGCAGATCTGCGCCAGGGGCGTAGTGATCTGGTCGCAACAGTTTGCCCTGGTTTATGCTGTCCCATACCCACTGTGGCTGAACGTAGGTGCGTCCAGGCATCATCGAGTATGGCCATTGGGCCTTGGGGGCAGCAGCACCGTCCTCCTGTGCAGGAGCACCGTTGGAAAGCGCAGGTCGATCGACGATCTGATGTGTGATGTTCGGGTCCGACTCGTTGGTTGTGAAAGCGCCGTCGCCTAGCGTTCCGTCCCAACCCACTCGCTTGCAGCCAAATGCCTTCAGTATGAACTCGAGCGATGCTCTGGGTGTCTCTCGTGCCAGATAGAAGGTGAAGGGCGCGAACAGGGATGCGATTTCGGCGCTGCTTGCTTGTGGCTGGGGCAAGATATCGGCATCGGGCGCAGTCGGCTCGAACTTGTCAATCTCGTCGTTGGCCTCCTCTTCGTCGTCTTCGGTGACAACCTTGGCTACGGCCGTGGTGCTCTCCTCTTCTTCAGCATCGGGCATAGCTGCAAGCCTGTCCGCAATCGCCTGTGCCTCGGGGTTAACCGCACCATTCTCATCGTGGCCGTTCGCGTCGTTGGTAGCGGTGGCCTTGCCCTCAAGCTGGAATGCAGCAAGCTCACCACCCTGCTCATCGCTCTTGGCGTTGAACTTGGGAGGGTATACCAGGCCGACCGAAGTGTAGAGGCGGTAGTTGACAAAGCCGAGCAGCGTCGTGTAGAACTCAACGAAGGTGCCCATGATCCTGAAATCGATGTCACCGCCTGTTCGCTGAACGAACCTGTATGGTACCAGCCAGAGGATGTCTTGACCTTGGATCGTCGCCTGGTAGTAGATACCCTTGATGGAGAGGAAGGACTTGCGGAGGGCGTGGGAAGTGATTACGTAGTGCTCGAACTCGCGGGTCAGTCGCTGGCAGAGAGCGATGGTCTTGGCGGGAACGTGGTCGCTGGAGGGGAGGTTGGCGAAGAGGAACAGCATGGAGAGGGCATCGTCGAGGTCGCGCAGGGCGTCGACGAAGGTAGGGTAGCGCTCCTTGATGATGTGGTCGAGCTTGACCTTGGGCATAAGGTTCTTCTCGAGGCGCGATGCATCGCCAGACTCGCCGCGACCGAGGGCGCGACCGATCTTCTTTGCGACAGCCTTGTGCTCGCGGAACTTGGCCAGCAGCGGCTCGTGGAGCAGGTATTGGATATCCTTGGTGTAGTAGAAGGTGGTGGCGGCGGTCGAGCCCCTCGAGACCTTCTTCTTGTTGCGCGGCTCACGGGGGTAGATTCCCTTGAAGATACATAGTCGTCTGAAGTCGGGGAGCGAGATCTGAAGCTTCTTCACGGCGCGCGTGCGGGTGATGTAGTTCTTGGCCGCACCGGAGGTGCCTGTAAACGGATTAGCAAGGAAACTCTCTCGATAATTGACAGCGATGCGTACCCTTCTTTTTTGAGCGACCAGCCATTGTAGAGGGAGGATCAAATCGCGATTCTGTCGGTGCAGACGGTCGAACTTTTGGCGGGCGCAAAAAAGTTAGAGATGCGGCCAACTAGCGGACATGGATCCGGCGTTAGCGCGGCCAGGGTCCACCGACATGCATCTTGCCAGAACTCCAGCGCCGAGGTGTCGAGAACCGCCATGGAGCCAATGAGTGCATAGGCCATAGTGACCATGGCCATTGACACGCAGCACAAGATGCTGCTCTTTGCAGCAGCCGCAGCTGTGCGCCTGCTCCTCTTCACTGTCTTTCCCGCCCTGCCAGACCTCCTCGCCGGACGTGTCGAGGTGTCAACACCAGTGACGAGCTTCAAGAGATGTATGTACCTGGCATGGGCTGTGTCTAGCATTACTGACACCCACCAGTGCAAGAGGGCGTCTTCCTCTACACCCACAATGTCTCTCCCTACGACGGCGGCGTATACCACCAGGCACCCCTCCTGCTGCCTCTCTTCTCCCTCTTCCCCAACCCGGCCCATGCCCCGCTGGCGACCAACATCTTTTACACCATCGTGGATTTATTAAGTGCGAATGCCTTGGCTCAAGTGGCAGAGAGCGGCTTCGCGTCAGTCACGCGCCTGTTCGCTTCCCCGCGGAAGGACTTGAGATGGAGCAGCGTGGCTATTGCAGCAGGGTAGGAACACTACACCTTTCTATACAACATATGCTGACATCTTTAGCTTCCTATTCAATCCTTTCACAGTTCTGACCTGCGTCGCGCGCTCCACCTCGGCCCTGACGAACCTCTTCATCCTCACTGCCATGGCCAAGGCGTCCCAAGGGGCCAGCTTCACCTTCATACTGGCCACGGCTTTCGCATCGTACTTCGCCATGCACCCAATACTCCTGTTCCCCCCGCTCATGGTTCTCCTCTATGATGCGAAGACTTTGAAGGGAAAGGCCGCGCCAGATGTCGCATCCTTCATCACAATCCATACTCTTGGTATCGCGGGCGCAATAGGCGTCTTGCTCACTGGCTCTGCGTTCTTGATGGGCTCTTGGGACTTTCTCCCTGCGACATACGGCGTGCGTCTCCTATTACCTGACCTCACGCCGAACGTTGGACTTTGGTGGTACTTCTTCATCGAGATGTTCGACTCTTTCCGCGAGTTCTTCCTCGGCGTATTCTGGCTACACGCGGCGTCGTATATGCCAGGTCTGACCATCCGCCTTCACAAGCAGCCATTATTCGTTGCTTGCAGCTTGACCGGCGTGTTCGCCATCTTCACACCATACCCGAGCATAGCGGATGCTGCGCTCTACCTTTCCTTGGTACCCATGTTTCGCCATCTTTTCCCTCGTGAGTTTCCCTTTCTTTCAAACTCATATAGCAATACTAACTGTATCCCAGTCATGCGCTACACGTTCTTGGCTTCGTCCGCTATCTTATACACATCGTTCTTGGGCCCTGCCTTCTACCATCTTTGGATTTACGCAGGATCGGGAAACGCCAACTTTTTCTATGCCATCACGCTGGTCTGGAGTTTGGGACTGTCTATCATTCTAGGAGATTCGCTATACGCAGCCTTGAGGGATGAGCTGGACGTGGAGAGACCCGAATTACTGGGTAAAGAAGTACGTAGGATATAGCTTCTTCGTACGTTGGCCTATGCCTTGTCATCTTTAATCGACTCGAGAATAGACCGGAACATATGCGCAATATCCTGTGGTAACCGAGCGTGATTTTCGATACCATAACCACGGAGGTCTCGTCGTGAACCACGCCAAGCTTTTTAGGAACTTAAAGATACTACTCGACGTCCACCGGGGGCAAAATGCCTCGTCCCCATAGATGCAGTTGCCTAGACACGTGGTATCCTTGTCAGGCGAAACTCACTTCCACCATATGCTGCTACACAGTAACTTGCTGAGCCACTAAAAGCGAGGTGAAGCTGTCTCTTTAGCGCCTCTTTACCTTTCCTTATCACCTCTCACCATAACTACAAAGAGTCACACAAAAGTAAAATTTGCACCTCTTTAGAGCAGCCTGCTCACTGCTGTAGCCCAGCATACAAAGCTCGTATCCCCTCGTCTTCGTCCTTCTTCTCTCTTCACTCTCCCACCACTATTTCGTCGGCACATCGATACCAATTCGGACTTCAATAACCACAAACACAAACACATCTCCATCTATATTCACACCAACACCATCATGCCCAAAGAGAGCCTGTCCGCCCGCGAGATCGAGGTGCTCGCCCTCGCATGGCAGTGCGTCGATCCACAGCCCAAGGTATGAGTTCCACCCCTTCCACTCAACACAAGCACTAACTCTCCCAGGTTGATATGGTCAAGCTCGCCGCCCTCACAGGCTACACTCCAGGCAGCGCCTCAGTCACCTTCGGCAACATCAAACGCAAGCTCAAGAACATGGCCGCCGGTGCCTCCGAGGACAGTCCTGCCACACCTGCAAAGTCACGTTCCGGCGGCCGTGCCAGAGCTACTACTGCTACATCCACACCCAAGAAGCGAGGTGCCACTGCCGCTCCCTCCTCAGCTTCCAAGCGCCGCGCTGCTCGCCAGCCCAGTCCCTCCGTGTCGGACGGCAACAATGACGACGACGATGACGACGACTTCGGCCTCCACGGTCCCAAAGTCAAGAAGGAAGAACCTGCCTTTGACGACGGCTTCGATCTTGTTGAGGAAGACGTCCCCGGTCGCGATGGCATGAGCTATGGTTTCCTCGATGGCATTGAGACCTTTAGTGGTGCTAAGGGATCGGGTCGGAATGCGTCTAACGGGTACCGTACCGTACAGTTGGAGGAGGATGAGTAGGAGGTGGGGGGTATGTGGGCGTGGGGATGCGAGAAAAGTGTGGCGTTTGCGAGCGTATTCGGCTGAGATGAGGGAAAAGTTTGGGCTTGTATGGCGAGTTCATGGTATGGGCGGACGGCTACATCGTAGTGATTGTGGTCATTTCATCAAATTTCATATATGCCTGGTGTACTTCGCGTGGCCTGCCTAGAATATGTGACATCGTGAGATATACTGACTACCTCCAGGCTACCACGAAACTAAGTCGTCTATCAAGTTTCACGGCATTGTCGTAGCCTGGCTGGATGTATTCAATGTGTTCTGAATGTGTGAACTGGCTTGCGATACGCTAACTACGGGATATGATTACAGCAGAACGCTAGCCTGACCTAGATCCGATCCCTCTTTCCCATATGAATACATCCCATTCCCGATCGCCCATGTTGCGCCTTCGATACATCTATCTTACATGCTTTTCTCACATAGCGGACACTCAGAGCGCAGAGATAGCTTCGAGCAGCACATCCAGCGCTCGATCACCGACTCCCTCCAAGCCCTCCCTGAGAGTCCAAGCAACGTCACTCTGTAGACCCAGCGGCACGTAAACACCACCCTCGTCCTTGTTGACTTCCATCCTCTCTCCCAGCCTACTCGTGTGCTCCCACTCTCTAGCCGCCTTCTCTGCGTTCTCGATGACTTTGCTCGGGATACCGCACATGGCCGCACAGTGCATACCGAAACTACCTTCAGCGACACCCTCCTCAAGCTTGTAGAGGAAGGTGATGGATTTGGAAGCATCATCCACATGAATACGCATACGCTTGTTCACGACTTCAGGGTGGAACTCGAACTCCTTAGCTAGAGAACGGTAGTGAGTGGCGAAGAAACCCACGCAGCCAACGCGCGTACTGATGTCGTGCAAAACGGCTTGCGCAACCGCCACACCGTCGTAAGAGGATGTACCGCGACCGAGCTCGTCGAGGATGACAAGAGACCGAGGAGTCGCTTCCGAGAGTATCTTCTGTGTTTCGGACAGCTCGACGAAGAAGGTGGATTGAGCTGCGAAGATGTTGTCATTGGCGCCGAGACGAGACATGATGCGGTCGACGGGTGTGAGTCTGGCCGATGTGCAGGGAAGGTAACAACCGACTTGTGCGAGGATGACCGCTATGCAAGTCATACGAAGGATAGTCGATTTACCGGCCGCGTTGGCACCGGTCAGTAGACTGATGTTGGCAGAGTCGCCGCCTAGTCTGATGTCATTGGGAATGAAGTCGTCGACTGTGTTGAGCATGCATGGGTGACGAAGCTCTTCTAGCTCAACGACAGTTCGGTTACCCTCCTCGAACACTGGACGACAGCTGGGCTCTCCGAGTGAAGCAGACGCCTTTGCGAGACTGATCAGACAATCCAGTTGAGCGATGATCTTGACTGCCGCGAGCCAGACCTTGTAGTCCTCATCGAAGCGTTGGCAGAAGCGAGTGGCAACTTCGCGTGTAATCTGACCATGCGTCTCTTGCGCTTCTTGTAGTGCTCGCACCAGCTTCCTCAGTTCGGGAGTGTAGTAGCGAGTAACCTTGGCAGTGGCGGACATTTGATCCCAATTGTTGGGAACTTTGACCTTCTTGGGTACCTCTAGTTGATAGATTTCTTTGCCAATGTCGTTGTATTGAACAGCATTAGAGCCGAGCTCTTTGCGGGCCTTCTTCAACAGTACGTCGAGATTTGCTTTACAGGTGTCGATCTCCTCCTGGCTGTTGTCAAAGTCTTCTTCGATGCCAGGCTCAGGAATGAGTAGTCCTTCTTTCCGTGCGATGTCTCGATCGAAAGCTGAACTCCATTTGGATAGAGACGCAGCCAGGTCAGGCATGGAAGAGATAAGTTGACCAATGATACCTTCACCCTCGCTGAACTGCTTCAACAGGCTAATGGTATACTCAATCTGCTCGAAGCCCTCCAGCACCTTGAGGAAGTCTTGCGCTCTGCATCGGCCCGCGTGCACACGAGAAATGAGACGCTCGAGATCTGGCAACTTGCTAAGGGACGCACTGAAATTGTCCATGATGGTAGAATCGGCATTCAATGCATCAACGGCATCTAGGCGAGCGTTGATCTTGGCTGCATCTGCGAGAGGATGACACACCCATTGTCGCAGTAATCGCTTGCCGAATGGGGTGATGCAGCGGTTCAGCATAGCAAACAGAGTACCCTCAGTTG